ACCGACCGAAGACCCTGGGGATGACCAAGAATGACCTTGAGGGAGGGGGCAGGGAGGTGGGAGGTAAGAAAACAAATTTTATATAAAAACCAGCAATAAACAGATATAGCTACCATGTGGCAGGTTGAACACTATGTGTCTATTCATAAAATATTTTCTCCCACAGGCTAAAAGTTTCATCGAACTTGTTGCAGAAAAATATTCGTCACTTGTTTTCTCATGAATCTGAGACTATTAAGCATTATGAACCATTCTCAGTGATTCTGAGAATAAGAACACTGGTCTGAGTTACTAAATAACCGTTACTGCCGGAAATGTTACATGGGGAAACCGGGAATACAGTTTTTCAGGGAACAGAGACCACCTGTCAAATGAGAGAAAATGAATGATGACGTACGAGTGTAAGCGACAAGTGGTGACAAAGCATCCGTGAAGAAGCAACGCCTCGCCCTGGAAAATTTAAGGAATAGCACGAAAAGACTTCGGGGCAATCACAGCACACGACAACATAGAAAGCGTTGGCTACACGGTTATGTCAAGAAGGCGTTAAGTGTCCAATCGTGCAACAATATGTGCAATTGGATGAGCCTTTGCCGCCAGTGTCACCCAGAAACTCTTTAACCACCGGCGTGGACCAAACGCTTGCCTTGTGACTCTAAGCAGTTCTTCAGACGACAACAAAATCCTTTGATACTCTGTCTCGTATCTTGAGGAAGACTCGTGAGATACTATCCAAAACGTGAAAAACTATATAATTTTATATAGACTACATAATTTTTGGCGTTATCTGTTAATAAACAGTTCTTGGCGATGTTTTTCAGCAGCAAAACACTTTTTCAAGGTTTCATAATTGCCAAGCTTAAGCCGTGAATCAAGCCTAAATCCTTCAACCAATAAACTGGTACCTACTTGAAGGACGTCGAAAGTTTGGAAGGATACAGCTTTCTTTATCATATCGAGTTAGAGCTGACCAGGTGATTCAACGCCGAAGCGTAATTTATGAGCCTAGAATATAAATTTAATTAATTCATGGCCTGTCTTGACGAAAGGGTGGAAACCGTTCATACATGAGGAACATCAAGCGAGGCACGAGGAACAAACGCAATATTTGTTTTCTTAGGAAAGTATGAATTGGTGTTCAATGGTTTGGTTCATGCAAGCGTATGAGCTGCTGAAACGAAACAATGAAAATGAACTCAGCACATAAACGTGAGAATGTTCGCTCAGCGCGGTATATCAAATGGCGCATAATTCCCCAAGACCAC